TACTTGTTTGATCTATGAATGAATCATCTCTTAAAAAGCTTTTTTCGGGTCGTAACACCATTGTTTTTGATTTTATCAAAATTTCACTGCTTGCATTTCTTTCGGATCTCTAACTCAAAGGGGTGGGATTCAAACAGGAGCTTAATCCAGGGACCAGAATTCAGAATACAGGAATTCAGTGTAATAGTGATGCTTCATTATCTTTACTATAAGTTCTCAATTGTGGTCAAACAGACCATATCCCTAGTCGGCAAGAAATTAAGAGAAGATTCGTTAAGCAGAAACCCACCGTGTTCTTTTGCGGTGCGGAAATGGAAAGAGATGTCTGTATGGGCAGCGGATCGCGCTACACGATGTGGCATTGCCAGATCCAACGAGCTGCCTTGTTCGAAATGTGCACCGAGTTTAATCTAAATCGACCATTTGGAAGCAGCGATGGAAAGAGAATTTGAACGTTTTTAAAAATTCAAGAAATCCTTGGAACGCACCCTGTTCGCAGCATCTCTGGCGACAGCAATTTGTTCCTTGAGAGCAGCGATTTTATCCACACATGCCTCCACTTTGGCCGTACGATTCGTAGCGCTGTTGTGCATGTTGTCGTAGGATTTCATCAACTTCGGGACCAGAACAGACAGCTGAAATTGACGAGTCTCCAGACAGAGCGTAATGATCTTTCACTGCATAAATGTCCTTTCTACCTCTCTTTAAATTGGTGTTCAGGACGTTATAAGATATAAGATTAAGTACTTGACATTGATCACTTACTTGGATGCGCCACGCATTCCACTTCCATTCATATATGGCATTTAATCAGTCATTGCCTAATACTTGCGCGGGTCGGCCCATGCATTTACAGTCAGTGTTTTTACCCTCCAAGATGAAGGTGCTACAGATACACCGATCTCAGAGGGATAGAATGCATAGTTAGCCTAGGAGGTGCATGGTCGTAGATTTGGCCCTTGATCGTGAGCGCGGTAAGCAATGCCGCTGGCCACAACACGCTTTCGCCTCAGGACTCACTGCACTTGTGGCAAATTCAAAGTTCGACCTCTGAGGTCAGGATAACATGTCGTTCATCCGTTCAACTTCCTTAGCGCATTATTGTGAAGGTTGCGCTTACATAGGTATTGCGTCAGAAGGGTCATAAATAAAAAATTAGAAGCGTCATCAATAAATGAGGCTTATTCCAAGAATCACTTAGCTCCAGAGTGAAAATGAAAGTACCTCTTTCACGTTGCCTTCGCGTCTCTTAATACCTTGCAAAGCATCGGTAGCTTCCGAGACGGCCTTGTCCGTTGCCTCTTTCAGTTCCGCAAGGCTCTCACGCGCTGTGCTCAGAACCTTAAACGAGTCATAAAGTGTGCTTGATTTGATTCAATGAATGAAAAGTGAAGCGCTTAGAACGATATACCTTGTCCGAGTCGACAAGGAGGCTATTCACATGATCAGCTGACTTCTCCACTTCTGCAAAAGTGGTCTCGTTCAGAGGTGATACCAACGAAGCACGGATACCGTCCACATTACGGCGCATTCCATCGACCATTGTGGTCAACTAAAGAGGGCTCTTTTAGGTGCTTCATTCGCTCACTATCACGGTCTTTCAATCACCGATCGTAGATTTGCTTGAAATTACGTTCAGAACCTGGCTAAGCTATAACCAACCCTATCAATTCTGTTCTCTGTCTCGACTGCTTCCTTTCTTCAAAGTATTCAGCGTGTTCTGCTGCAGATTCGAGGCTTGACGGACTAGTGTAGCGGAGCCGTTCAGTGCTTGTTTCAACTTTCTTCTGAAAATCGATTCTAGGTAGCGATTTGATGAAAATTTGGAGCACAACTGTAACATCATCACACCTTCTTTTGAAGTGTGACGCCCCGCCCCATTTTCGACCACGCCAATTACCGGGCCACCGTCTTCATCGACTTCCAGTCCTCTATACAATAAAAGCCCCGCGCCCTAAGACAGTCTATTTTCTTACCAGCGTCGACATTAGATAAGCAAGCAACCTGTTCAATTCACTTATGCAATTTATAGGCATTTCTGTACCTTTCATACCGCAGCACGCGAACAAGACCAAACAGCACCAAAGTATTCCGATGACCGCAACTGAACCGTATCATACTAGCAAAAAAATAAATTTCACTTCACGAGGCTCTTCAGCAGCAAAAGGAAATAACTTTTCTGGTAGGAAGAAGTGGAGCCAGAAGAAGAGACTTGTGAAGCTTACCTTCTCTTGCAAACCGTCACTCAGCTCAGTCATTTCATCGATTGCCCATTGTGCCTTTTCTTGAGCATTCTTCAATGAGTCGGTAAGGTTACTGTAGGCAGTGGCAGCTTCGACAGCATTCTTAAAACGAATATTCGTTATCCAGAAGGGCAATGATCATCGTATAACTTCGCTGTCGTGTTTCCAACAGCCCAAAAAAAAAAAAAAAAAAAAAAAAAAACCAAAGCAAAACTTTCGGGATATTTTGTAGACAAACCTGAGACTCCAATTGAGCTGAGCCAAAGTTGTTCTTCAGACGTGATGCTTCGATCTCCAGGTCTCTAACTCTGGCATCCACCGCGCTCTTGTCATAGGATACTTGTCGCTTCTCACGTTTGGGCTCAACCATCTCGGCGAGTTCAGCACGGACTTCAGCCAAATTCGTCAGCGAGTTTCCCACTGACTCCAGAGCATCCTTCGCTTGTTCGGTGAGATTTTTGACCTATAACCGGATATTAAAGGGCAAAATGTGCATAGAACTGAGTGCAGCACCAACCTCCAGCAGCACACCACTCACGACGCCGTGTTCTTCAATGGCCTTATCGCGACCGTCAGCTAACGCCTTTCCAAGCCCCTCCAGTCTTAACGTTGACACGCCGCTGGCAGCCTTAACAATCGAGTGCTATACATGAATTGATTTCTGAATATTTTCGAGTCGCCCCGAAACAACATGATAGGAAGAGCTTCCACTCGTCACAGAGAGAAGTATCCTGTGGGTTTCCGGGGTCTATTGTGTGAATTGTAAAGTTTGTGCTGGGTGGGTGTTTCTCTGCCATTTAAGCTTATCTATAGGTAGATAGGAGAGGGGGGGGGGCGGAAAACAATGTACAATTTTTGCATAAAGGATAAACATGGTCTCGGAGCAGTGGCAAATTGTTAGCAGCAACCGCTCGAACAGGAAGATGAAGAAGAAGCTTTCCACTACCGAGCAGACGTGATTTCTCTCCCATTCTGCGATAATCTAACCTAACTATATTTGATTTGAGAGAGAAAATTCAAAATTACTCATATTCTGAGTATGTACCTTACGAGCCTTCCTCGGACTTCTTTCGAGATTCCTTTAGCATTTTCTGTGAATCGCTCAGGTAATCAGCGACTTTCTCACTCTGAATGAGAAACAATTTTCACACGCCATTCATAAAATCTATGAAGACTCTCTCCACAATAAGCACCTGGTCCTGAGCGTTATGAAGCTTTTTGGTCAGTTCGTCCAATTTTTCAGTGCGCCGGTTCAGTTCTTCTTGTACCTCTGCGACCTTCTTCGGAACCCTCGTGGCTTCCTCTGGCTTCCCATCGCTAAATTCCCAGAAATAAGATCGCTGGTCTGAAAATTAGTGCCTTTCAAGAAGATCTTTAGACATTAGAGCACTGAAGATCGAAATATGATGATGATGGCGCGTACCGCAGCTCGACGGCGAATATCCTGAATAACCTCGCCAGCTGAATCCGTCAGATTCATTGCACGCTCGACATCGTTATCGGCGACTGTGTTGGATCTGAACAGAAAATTAACATTTGTAATATGCTACGTATAGATATCGATTGAGCAACCTTTCAGCAGAGTTGACCAACTGCGACATGTTGGCAAGGACAGCACGAGCATCTCCGATGAAGTTGTTGTACTGTTCACCAGACAGCAGGTTAGCGATATCCTAAAATTAAAAACGTCTCTGTGAGATTGAAGTTAATCTTTTTGGCAGAAGCCTCAAAATACGGAATTCTGTTACGACAGAATCAGAAGTCCAGTGCAGCGCTATTTCCAAATGTGAAAAACATTATCCGAGCCAATGCTAGAACTCGAAGGCAGCGACTACGATGGCTGGAGGGCGGCACGGTTTTGATGACGTCATTTATGAACTAGACCCCTCAGCATGCTGGGTAATGTGGTTGGGACCACCTCCCAACGCCCTTTCACAAAGTAACGTTCAATGGTTGCATTATAACCGCTCCGCCTACCGGAAATGAAGTGTGGACTGAGAACTGGTCTACCAGCAATAACTATTGAAATTGCGAACCCTATTTACAAGAACTCTGAAAAACACACCTCCAGTTGGCTCGTGTGGGTTAGTCACGTGGGCAATTGCCTAGTGGTAAAGCGCAAGAGGCGCATCAATAGGGATGAAGCAAGGACTTCTTGTGCGTGACTCCGCCCATGCGACTACCGTAATACACCGTTCTAAGAATTAGCGATCCTCTTTCATCACTGCCACCAACAAACAAACAGAACTATCCTAATTTTTAGCTGGCTCGTGTGGGTGGAGTCACATAAGCAATTACCCTATTGCTAAGTGTGCCAAGAGTAGGGCGCATAAATTGTGAAGGAGCCGACTCCGTCTGTCCATGCAACCACCGTAAAACACGCTCCTAAGGTTGGCGGTCGCCTTTCGTTACTGACACAACGAACACAACTATCTCGAATTTAGGTAGCAGTAACCCGCACGTAGTCAATCGTGGAATGTAGCTTCCAAAGTACCAGTTGAACCCCCTATCCTGAATTATGTAGACCTAACGTGATGAAATCATCCACTTACCGTGTATTTGCTGACTTTCTTGGAGTTGCGGCTAAGCCTGGCTCCAACGACGGTAGCGGATGAAATGTTACCAATCGACATATTCAGATGTTGGATATCGACTCCCAGATGATCCACGTCGGAGACCAGATGATGTACGCATTCATCACAACCTTAAACAGATCAGATGCCCTACAGAGCCTTTCGCTAGATGCCTCGAAAAGAAGCCTTACGTCGGCATCCATAAGTGGGAATTCTGAGATATGACTGTAGACATTGGTCGCAGCGAGCTCCGGTGGCTCCTTCCTGACAATGACACTGTCCTGTACGCACATCACACACCGTACCCATGGAGAGGTCTGCCTCGCAGTCGCACTCTACAAATCACATTTTTGGTTATAGTTTTGGACACATAGGGAGGTGGGACTTACTTTGACAGCCGTATTCGCCATAGTTCCAGAATCCGTGCTCGCAGTGCTCGCAACGCAGCCCGACGGCTCCTGGTCGACACTGGCACTGTCCGGTCTCATCGTCACATTGGGTGGAGGAAGAAGCGATACCGCAGTGGCACGGATAACATCCACCACAGCGCGAGAAACCCCAATGATCAGACTAAAAATGTTACACATGTAATGTACTTGCAAGGCTTCACAGTGCTCAGCTCCAACTAATAGTTTCCAAGACTGTTTTTTGTTTAGTCTCTTAAAACCAGCTCAATCCGCAAATAAAAACTGGAAATCCATTGCAAGAGTGGTGACCACCCTTTTTAGCTGTACTGTGGCCGAAGAAATGATAGTGGAGGGTGAGTCGTAACAAGGTGAAGTAAAGAAAGCCTTGACTTACAATGCATCTGTCGCAATTTAATCCTTCCACATTTGGTTTACAATGGCAATCGCCAACTTGGTTGTCACACATCGATGAACCACACTGGTCGCAGGTACATGCAGTACATTTCTTTCCCGCCACTGCATCGCCGTGGTACCTTAATTGACAGTAAGTAATTCGACTAGCTCAACAAAAAACTGAATTGTTGTTTTGAGTATCATAGAAGG